GAGGGAAAAGGGCAAAGGAGGGGCAGGGAGGGGCAGGCTGAGGTCTGCAAATTGGTTGAAAGCATTTTTAAGGTATTTGGCTGCCATCCTTTTGACAGCTCTTGGTGATCTCCAGCGACCATAACTTGCTGTTGGAATTTAGATTCCAGAAAACAGACCATCTTCTCTTTTGCTAGTTTACTTCCCTGATGAGATTCTTTGCCTGGTATAAGCACATGGGTATCAATTTGCTTTTGGTCTCTTTACAAACTGTCTCATCGTTGGGATGAAAGATACCATCTATAGAGAAAGTTAGGGAGAGAATTTTTTTTTAAAGCGGTTTGACTCAAATTTTGCTAAATTTTTGGCCTGCAGGATAGATAAAACTTCTTTGCTGTATTCATGAGTTGGCACCATGGTGTGGTAAGCCTTTTGGTGTCTCTGAGTACCACTGTCACTTCTGAGACCTTCTCTTTGTTCCCATATTTGCCATTTAAAGACAAGGCTTTTTGGAGAGCCCTTCTTCTGTGGCTAGTCTAACAGGTTAAAATGAACCCATCTCCCAGATGAAAAATAATATATGTAACTATCTAAGAATTGATTTGTAGTCATCCTGCTGCAGATTGCAGACATCTAATGAAACACGAATGAGCTCTGATTCTGCCTTTTTGTTTTTTGTTCTTTTGCATTTCATAATCCATTCCGTCTCTCCTACCACCTTTACAAGATTTTTCAGCTCCTGGAAATCTTGTTGGCCTGGGCCCTGTGTCTGTGGTACTCATAGATTATGTTACTCTATTCTAAAAACCCATCCATGTCTTGTTATTAATTTCAGAATGAATTTCAAAGTCTTTTACCTGGTCCTGTGTAATCTGGCTTCTTTCTATCTGCTAACAAAATCCCCAAAGCTTAGTAACTTAAAAAAAAAAAATCAAAAAACAAGAATTTTTATTTCTTATGATTTTTTGAGTTGACCAGATGGTAGTTGGGCTAATTTCACCTGGACTCACTCATCTGATGTGGTCATTTGGAGGGGTAACTGAGCTCTGGAAGGTCCCAGCTCATCTCCATCTTGTGTTTGGTATTTGGTTCTGGTTGTCTGCTGGGGCACCTTGCTTCTCTTCCAGGTGGCCCCTTTGCCTCCATTAGCTTAGACTGGCTTCCTTACCTGGTGGTTTTGGGACAGCATTCCAAAGCAGTGAAAGTGGATATGGCAAGGTCTCTTGACTTACCTGGTGGTTTGGGGACAGCATTCCAAAGGAGTGAAAGTGGATATAGCAAGGTCTCTTGGGGCCCAGACTAATAGAGGTCACACAGTGTTACCTTCACCACATTTATTGGTCAAAGCAGATCCCAGGCTGGCCAGAATTTAAAGGGTGAGGAAACAGACTTCTCTTCTTGCTGGGACTTGTTGCAGAGAATTTACTCTGCTAAACCATTTAGCACTTCTCCTTTCTCACTTGCCCCCTTTCATTGCATGTTTTAGTCTCTTACTCCTTTCAGTTCCTTAAACTCATCTTATTTTCTAGCTTTTGGCCTTCAAACATATATGTCTGTCCACCTGGAATATACTTTCTTGCCTGTTTCGCCCCACTCCCACCCCCACTCCGTTAACGTATTTGGTACTAAACACATAGTTTAGTTTTTAACTTCATTATCCTTACTAGAGTTTTTTTTTTTTTTTCCCTTTCCTGATAAACTGGAAACTGTCAGAGATCAGGATTGGTGTCTGTCTTGTTCTTACTCTGTGTCTAGTACCCAGCACAATGACTGGCTTATAATAGCTACTGTTAGATAAATATTTATGGAATCACAAGATCAAATTGTTGTTTGCTCACAAGATGATTTTGAAGTTCCCCTTGGAATACTAACTCTTACCCACTCTAAAAGTTTTTTATTTTTTTTTCCCTTCTCAGCCCAGCAATCTAGCATCAAGATGATAGCCCAGTTGAGGAGGTACTTGGTTGTGGAGTAATTAAGGTGGAAACCTTTTTCTTTAAGAGTCATTAGAGCTGTTAAATCACTTGCTAGCCTCAAATGAATGTTTGGAAGAAGTCCTACCTGTAGTCCATAAAATAGGTGGTTAAAAATGTGAAGTTAAGCTAAGCTTTTGTTTGTAAAGAGTGGAGAATGGCTTTCCCTAGCTCAGCCACCCTATTAGTTCTTCCTTTTCTGAATCTGTACTATACTTAGAATCAGTGCACTCTAATTGCTCTCTAATTATGTTATGTGCAAGTCTCAACCTCTCACCTAGAATCAACTTTTTGAAGGAATAGGAGTGTATTTCATACCTCATTTATTTTCTTCACAGTGCATACTATCATAAATAATTAATAGACTCTGGCTCAGCCAAAACATCCTCCTTCTTTCTTCTTTTGCTCCAAGCATTAGATTTAGTGTTAAGAGTTTCAGCGAATATATTTTCTAATCTAGTCAGTTGTAGTAGCTAGTCTCCAAGACAACCCTCCCCCCTCCCCCTGACCTCAGCAGTTCTTACCTCCTTGTATTTATGTCCATGTATAGTCTCTTCCCACACCAAATTATACCGACATTTGAGCCAGGCCAGTATGGTGGAATAAAAGACATTGTGGCTTCCGGTATACTTTTTTTGATCACTTGCTGTGAGGTAAGCCAGTTGCCACTTTAGGACATGCAAGCAGTCTTTGAGAATTGTCCATGTGGTCGATTGGACTATGACGTGAGGAACCCAGGTCTCTTGCCAACAGCCATATGAGTTAGCATCTTAGAAGCAGATCCTCTAGCCTCCATCAGGCCTTCAGATGACTGGTCAACATCCTGACTGCACAAACATGAGGGACTGAGCCAGAGCCACGTAGCTATTTCCAAATCCTGACCCACAGAAATGGTAAATATTGAGATAATTCATGTCTCTTGTTATTTTAGGCTTGTTACATGTTGAGTAGTGTGTTACATGGAAATAGAGAGGTATATATTGGCCATTTTGCATTCTCTCTGGACTCTAAGAAATGAATGTGGCCTTTGTCTGTGACAAGATTGACTGAGCTTTGCCCTGGAAAAGATACATATTACATAACATATCTATTTATTGGAAGAAACGTAACTATAACTTTTCCTGGATACCCAGATTTCAGTGGAACGTTGGGTTAGATGCTACCTAGAGGTAGATGGGAAAATCGTGTCATCTTTCATATCATTCATACCTTATATGATTAAAACTTTGAAAAGATAGAAATGTTAAGTAAGTTAAGTCTGCTACAGGGTAGTATAGCATAGTGCTTTATTTAAACTTACGAATTGACTTTGGTGTCAAGTAAACAGCATGAGCAAAAAGGAAATTTATTATATAGAAAGAGAAATGTCTCATGGAGCCCCAGGTTAAGGATGGAGGCAGGTCTCATAAAGGATCTAGAACTGGAGTAGAAAATTATAAGGACTCTTACTTCATCTCTTCTTGCTCTGAATTCTTTTTCTCTAGCTGGTCTTCCTCTGATTTTCCATTTACAAGGTGGCATTTGGAAGTCCTACAGCTCCCTTTATTATGTGACAGTTTTAGTTACACAGAGACACCCTTCAAGTTTTCCCCAAAGAGAGAATTTGATTGGTAGAGTTTCAGCCAGATGCCCATTCCTGAGCCAATCAATCAGCCACTGCCCTAGGGGAGGAGCTGGAGTTGGGGACGGGACTGTGGGACTGCTTGTAGCATTTTCCTATTAATGGTATAGGTATGTGGGGTGGGAGTTGGGTAGGGAGAGTAAGGATACTGTAGGGGGCGTTAGGTTCTAAAGGAGCCTGTGGGACAGACAGAAACCTCAGAGGTATTTGCTCAGATAGGAGAGAACCAGTTTTAGAAAACATGATGTGTTATCTCAGCTTTGTGAGGCAGCGCATTCTCAGCCTGTCATGGTATAAAATGGTAGTTGATGATAAAACCCTAAATATCATTTCCCTTCTCTCCCTTATTCCTACTTAGATCCTGGGTTATAAATGTTACTACCAAGAACTTTAGTGAGAATGTAGTTTATTACCCATGTTAAAGGTCAAAATCAGAGACTGGTATCAATAATGTACTTTTATGACACCTATGAGGAAAGTCAGTGTTCTTGGCCATTCCAGATCATCACTTGTAAATACACATTTGAAAGAGTGTGAGGAGTGAAAACAAATACCCTTCTTCTAGTCCGTGTACACTTAAGCTTTGTCTGGGAATTTGGGCAAAATACACGCGGCAGTTCTGAGGTTCTTAATTTGCCACATACATCTTAGAGTCAGGATGTCTAAAATACTTCCTCCTTAAAAAAAATAAAATAAAATACTTCCTCCTTGAACAATATAATGAAATAATTGGGATATGGCACTAGTTTCCAACAGGGCTTTCTCTGCGTTGTTTTAAACAGAATGGAAGAGAAAAATGAACAAGAAACTGACGTACTAGTCAGATTAAAAAGAGCAAGTTTGACGCATTCCTCGCTGAAAAAAATAGTTCATTGAGCTCTTCTGAAGTGTTTCTAAGCATTTGTGACTTCACAAGTTTAATGTACTGCGTTTTTTTTTTTTTTCTATTCAAAAATGCTTGCATGCATCAATCTCTTGATTTATCTGTGGAATATTTGGCATTTCCCAGTTTCAGTGAAGTATTTGGAGTAACGTATGTCATGGTAGGGCTTTCCTGGTGGCTCAGATGGTAAAGAGTCTGCCTGGAATGCAGGAGACGAGGTTTGATCCCTGGGTCGGGAAGATCCCTTGGAGATGGGAATGGCTACCCACTCCAGTATTCTTGCCTGGAGAATTCCATGGACAGAGGAGCCTGGTGGGCTACAGTCCAGTTCACAAAAGAGTCAGACATGACTTAGGAACTATTGTAATATTCCAATGGGGAGGGCTATTTTAAAACACTTGGTTTAGTTAGTGTCATAAAGCTTTTCTGTGAGCGTACATATATGCATACTCTAGTTACAATTCTGTTACAGTAAGCAGGAGCCCTTCCTAGGGCTCTAGAGCTCCTGTGTTACTTAGAAATGAATTGTCAGAGGAGATTTACGTGCTGATAAAACAGAAGACTTTTATTGGGAAGGGGCGCCTGTGCAAAGAACAGTAAGGCAAGGGAATCCAGGAGAACGACTCTGCCATGTGGCACACAGTCTCAGGTTTTATAGCAATGGGGTTACTTTCTGAATTGTCTCTGGCTGGTCATCTTGCTTGGCTCATGTCTGACTTCCTGGTGGCACACGCGTCTCTCAGCCAAGATGGATCAGCGAAAAGGACTCTGGAAGGTTGGTCATCCCCTTCTTTTGGCCTCTCCCAAATTCTCATGGCTAGTGTTCCTTATCGGGACCTCCTACTGTGGGACAGCTCAGGCAAGTAGTTATCACTTGCCTGGACAAGTTGTGTGGTTCCCTAACAGTACAATGAAAAGTCAGTTGTAAGAAAATATAGGTGGGGATTTTCCCTGTGCCATACATAAAATTGTGTTCAAATCCATTTTTAATGGTAGTGTTTTTTGTGCCCTTGGGAATAATGCATAACCTGTTTCTTATCCTATAATATTGGAGAAGGAAATGGCAACCCACTCCAGTATTCTTGCCTGGAAAATCACACGGATGGAGGAGCTTGGCGTGGTACATACCCCATGGGGTCACAAAGAGTTGGACACGACTGAGTGACTAACACACACATCCTGTAATATAACTTGAAAAGAAGTTGAGCAAACACAAGAATGCAAGTCATCTTTTTGATAAATACTTGGAGAAGCTGAAGGCCATAATCGGAAGAACCTAATGCTTATTTTAGATACAATATACATTTTTGTTATTCAGAGTTTGCTTTTAAAGAGTTTACACTGACATACTTTTAAGGGATTTACCCTGTAGAAAAGGTGTGAGGTCCACACGGGAGCATTTTTTCTTTTGCTGATGGAAAAAACTAACTTCATTTAATTGCTTGCCCAAAGCCACGAAGGTATTATTACATCAAAGAATGAACTAGAACCCTGGATTTCTGACTCGGTACACCTCCCATGTTACATCCCCTCAGCTTCGCATCCTAAATAATTCCCCTGACTTGGTTTCTGGACCAGGCCCCTTGGTTTGTGGCTTATGGTCCCTTGTTTATAAGGATTTGGTTTCATTTTTTACTTTATAACTTTGACAGCATGAAAGGATCTTAGTTAAAGAACAGGTGAAATTGTCCAGTATCTTATACAGATTGCATTAAATTCTTGCTTTAAATATTTTGATTCCATTTCTTTGTAATGGTGGAGTTTTTGTCACCTTTTGTTACCACCAGTGGTAGAGAGGATACTTGTGTAAATGAGTTTTGAATCAGAATGAGGAGAAAGGATGAATGAAGTAAAGATAGCTTTCAGGACAGAGGCTCTACAAACAGGTTCATTGTCACAGGCTTTTTTCATTGAATGCTCTGCATACTCATTATCATTGCATCTCTGCAAACTGCTAATTGCATTATTTTCCGGGTGGGGTGGGGTGGGGTGGTGGTGGTGGTGGTGGTGGTGGGTGTCCTTTTCATTGTTTTGCCTGTAGGCTAGGATGGTAACACTGCAAGGTGTGGTTTCCCTTGTGTAACAGCTTTCATTGTAACTTTCTTATTTGGAAGGTAGGTTTTAAAAGGTGAAACTGCACCTTTTATATTTAAAAGAAGGCATCAGGACCATGGAAATCAGATCTAATGTAATTTGACATGTATTACAGAATTTTAGAATCTTGAGGGAGAAGGAAGCGTACAGCCAGCATATGCAGCCTGCTTGCTCCTGTGGCAGTGTTGGGGGTGCGGAGATGGGGACAGTGGAGATTGCTGTGCGCACAGAGCTGAGTCAGTGGGACAACAATGCATTGATTGCATTTCATGTGCTTCTGACAAATGATGTCCATTTTGTGTTTAAACATGCTCCTGGGGCCACTTTGGAAAACTCTCTCACTGAAAGTTTGTCCTAAAGTTGCTCTTGCCCCTAATTCTGTCCTCAAATGTAATTAGTGGTATGCTGGTTAATGGTTATCAACCTGCTCAGGGCAGGGAGTGCTGGTTTGTAGTGTTTGCCAATTTCCACTGTGTAAATACTCACACTTTGGCCAATGTTAAGTCACTAATGAAAAGACACTGAACACAGGATTGGGAAGAGCTGCACAGTTGGCTCCTTGACGTTAATATGAGTGGCTTCTGCCACCATTGAGCTCCATACACAGTGAATTATCATGACTGTAAATGAGAATGGATAATGGTTTACTGGGAACAAGAGTTTTAAAAGCTCTTTTACACACACACACACACACACTCACACACACACACACACACACACTCTTACCTTATTTGAGCACCATCATAACTGGGAAATAAGTGTTATTACTTACCTCATTTTAATACAGTCTCTATTCCCAAATACTTGGATTCTCAACTTCTTTATAGTTATTTCTTTGAAACTTGAGGTTATCCAAGTATTTAGATTGTAGTTGCTTGTAAGTGGCAAATTCAAACCCATGTCTTTCTGATACCAGAATCTGCACAGAGTATCAGTGTAAAATACAAAATAAAATGAAAAGCTGATTGTATTCATCTAAGCATCTGCTTTCTGGTTGTATGCACCCACAATTCTAATAAAATAGCTCTTTCATTGATTGAGTTTATTGAGCATCTGTGTGTGTCAGTCATTGTTCTGGACACTCCTGGTGCATCTGTGAACAAAACAGTAAATATCCTCCCGTTTATGGAGGGAGCTAGACAACAGACTCATATAAAAGCAAGAAATTTGTGTGTTAGGAGGTGAAAATGCTGTGAAACAAAATAGAACAGAACGAAGGGGATTATGTATATTGAAGAGATTTGGGTTGCTGTTTTAAATATGGGGATGATATTCCTCACATGGCTTAATTTTCAGACCTTTCATGATTGCTCATTGCCTTTTCTCAAAAGGACATGCTGTGTTAAGTTGTGTGCCCTGAGCCCCAGGTGTCATAGCGCAAACTGGTCCCTAATAGGTTTAAGAATGCAGCCTGAGAGGCCTTTCTCTCTCCATGGACCCAAGTCCCATTCTTGGCTGCTGTTGTCTTGTGGTCAGTGCAAGCCACAGGTCCCTTGCCACAGGAATGCCTGCCAGCCATGCTAGCTTTCCCTCATCAGATCGTTTTACCATTGACTGATGGAACCTAGACGCAGTACTTTACATTTATTCCTGTGGTTTCTCATTATGCAAAATAACTACAGGGGCAGCTTGATTTATTGGCAGATAAATTTGCATTTGTGACTTCTCTAGGTCTTAATGCTCCTTGAGGCAATGTTTTCCAAAGTGTGGAATCACCCATGAGAAGTGAGGAGATTGGCACTGAGTGACATTGACTTAAAGGGAGAGAGTTGCTCCCCCTTGTAGTTCACTGTCAGCGAGTGTGATGCAGTTGAGGATACAGTCTCATTTTGGTGCCAGTGAGTCTTTAATATATCAGTTGGAAAGAGTCGGACACAATTGAGCAACTGAACAAAAACAGCAATCAGTTGCTGATGTGCCTTTTCTCAAAAGAGAAAGGAGACAGGGAGAAGGGGGTGTGTAGGAACTTAAGCGTCTCCGCAGATGACTGGTTTAGCTAGAAATGAACATTCCTTTAGTTACAATATATTGTGTTTATTTATCTTTAGATTTGTCTTTTACTCACAGTAGATGACATTGATTTTCCTCTCACAAAATGAAATAAAATTTTCTTTCAAATTGAAAGTATTCATGTTAAAATGTATTTAAAGAAATTTGAGATAAATAGCACATGGTTTTTAAGTTTGACACATTATGAAGGTATATCTTCAAGGTCTGAAGTTTGGTTAATGTTTGTCTAAACAATGCTGCAAGATCAGAAGTGGATACAAAGCTCTTTAAGAGCCCAGGTCATAAAATAAGCAATATTTTAGAATCTAAAAATATCTCATCATAATCATGGGTGTGTATAGCAGTCAAGAGCATGAACCGTAAGTCTCTTGACTTGAATTCCTCTTTTACTAGTTGTGTGATCTTGGGTAAGGTTCTTAATACTTGGTGCATCCTCAGTGTGCTCATCTGAAAAATGGGGATAAAAGCCCTTATTTCAAAGGGTAGTAGTGAGGATTAAATGAGTTATACATTAAAGATAGTTATGGCTATGTAAGTGTGAACTATTATAATTATTTTTAAGAGAGTGATGTTCTTCATGGTGGTGGTGGTGAGGGAATTCTTCATTTTTATCAGTCTAAGCGATATGTTCTAGTTCTTAAAGGAGTGTTACTTAGGGTTCTAGGTTATGTAAACAGAAAAAAGAATGAGCCACATTGTGTTAATATTATGAACAAAAAGTTCTTATTGTTTTCCTCCCAGCTCAACTTTGGGGAATTATGTTTTCACTGGCTCTGGGTTGTTTATAATTGTCCTTGTTGAGTCAAGGTGGGCTTTTTTACACTAAGTCTGGGCAAGATGCCCTTTATTGTCATTTCATGTGCCCTTTCAGCCAATTTCTGATGTATAAATAACACATAAAAAACACCACCTGGACTGAGGCTTTTTATTACTTTGGAATTAAATTTCAACGGAAATATCAAGGACGATGAAATAGATGAGGAACTGGAAATTTAAAGGTGGCCTAAATATGGGTCTGCTTTTTCTTCTGCCATCTCGTGACTTCTGTTATAAATAAAACCTCCTTCTGGATTCCCGAATGAGCAGCTGCGTGTCCCATGGTGAGCTCTGTAGAACTTGAGCTCCCCTAGTGATAGAAAGTGTTTAACAGGTAGAGAAAGGATCTGCTGGCCAGACAAGTTTGGCAAAGACTGGGACACATAAAGCTCAATGGATTTATCTGTTCTCTTGTCTGTTCAGAGGATTTTATGCATGGAAATCAATCATGATGCTTTAAAAATGAAAATAACAATAACAGTTAACTTTTATTTAGCACTTACTATGTGCCAAACATGGTTCTGAGCACTTTATGTGTATTGCCTTGTAAATCTTCAGAAGAGCACGACTGTTATTCTCATTTGATATGTGAGGAAACTGAATCCTAGAGTGGAGGATGTAGGATTTCTTAAATGTTATCTGACCAGAGACAAGTTTTTTGACGCACGTTATGTAATGAGAGCCGTGGGAAGCTTGGTCTAATGCTCTAAATACACTGACTCACGTGTAGATGATTTTGGATGTCGGGTGGCCTTTTTCTGACCTTAACATTTCTAGGCCTTCTGGTTTCTGTGGAGGAAATGATGGCTTCTCTTAAAATCCCCACGTTATATAGATTTGTTTCCCAATGATTTTCTTGCTTGCTTTGATGGTATAAGTTCTGAAAGTGCAGGACTCATAAATCTAAAAGTGACAGATTTAATTTTCCAACTTTACAGTCTCCTGGATGGGGAGAATAGATCCCTTTTCTGCAGACCGTACCTTCTCCATTTGAGCGTTTTAGTAGCATCTCTTGAAGGTGAGAACTTGCTGTGTGGAAATGGGAGACAGCTCTGCATAGGGCTTGTGATCTTACTGGAGTCAAATGAAAGTACATCTGATTAATAAAGGGTTTATATCCTTCTGAAGTTAAGAGAATGAAAAAAAGCTATATTTTTCATCCTGGTTTTAAATGCACATCAACTGGTAAAATGTCAAAATGCATTTTGACAAATGGTCTTCACTTCAATTATTTATACATTTCCTTGAATTATTTCAGTATTACACAAGTGATGAAATCATCTTGAGTAAATTATTGCCTCTGCTCCCACAGACAGTTGAGTCTAGTATGTACAAAATTCTTCCATTATTTCCCATCACTCTGAATATAAAATCCAAATTTATTATTGCTACCTACAAGACCTCTACCCCTGTCCTCAGGGTTAATGCTAGTTAGAATTGCCTCTTTGTGATAATGAAGAAATATTGCCCTTCTGGTCAGGCTCTACATATGGATAGGGCTACACATGTTCCTTGGCCATGTGCCCTTGTGCCATGCACAGCCTGTGCAGCTGCACATAACTGACCACCTCATCTCATATCCCCCATAACATCTTTTATGTTTCCTTGGTAATCCTTATCTCACTTAAAATGACTGATTGAATGTCTCTGATTTTTGCTAGAGGGTAAACTCTCTGTAAACTGTCTCTGTATTTGTCATATTTACTACTGTATTGTTAAGAACAAGCAAAATACCAGGTACCCAGTACGCTTTTTATGATGTTTATTGTTTATGATGTTTATTGAAGGCAGGCTTGACAATTGCATCCATGTCTGGGCCCATGGATGTCTAGGGAATGAATAGAGCAAGCATAGATCTTACATGAAAGGATTAGAAATCTTTTGATTGAGGTGTATGAATCTGGGATTTAGAATCAAACTTACAGGCTGGTATAGAATAATCAAGTTTTATCTAGGTGCTTTTCAGCCTTAGGGATGCTATATTTTGCACGTATCTTCTGTTGTGAATCTCTTATATTTGACATAACCAGATGTTCCTACTCTCCAGAAAAAATGCTGTGTTTTCTCATTATGTGCTGTGCTACCAGAGCTCATCTTAGGTGTGTGTAGTAGTAATAGAGGAGGGCAATGCACAGCCCTTAGCATGTGGCTGTTGCTCTACGCCATTACAGCGCAACTCCTTACCAGGCAACGGGTTACCGTGAAACCACTAACGGGAGACCACTGATGTGAGGTGGTTAGAGCTGTGGTTAGAGGTTCCTGTTCAGCCATTGGTCGGTGACACAGTGGTCTCCTTCCCCAAGCGAGCAACTGGCAGTTGTCAAAGAGTAACCGTTAGTGGTCCTGCTCAGACATTGGTTGGTGCTGCAGTGGGCCCCTCCCCCAAGCGAGCAACTGTCAGTTGTCAAAGAGCGACCGTTAGTGGTCCTGCTCAGACATTGGTTGGTGCTGCAGTGGGCCCCTCCCCCAAGCGAGCAACTGTCAAGAGTGGCCGTTATTGGCCCGTTTAGCCAACAGTCAGTGGAGTGTAGGCCGTCGGAGAACGAGGTGAGAGGTGGATCCCAGCCTTATCCCATGGCTTCTCCGCTCACTTGGCCTCGGGCTGGCACGTGAACTGGGGGGGTGGGGGGCAGGGAACAGGCTGGGGACTTTGTCCTGGAGGGCTTCAGAGCCCACACCAAGGCCACCCACTAGCCAAGCCCAGGCCTTGAGGCAGCGGTGAAACATTCCTCCCTTTCCCTCATCCGCGCGACCCGATGGCAGCGGAGGCCTGCTGTTCTATATGTGACTTTGTGCATGTCATGTCATATATTAGATGCTCAGTTTAAGTAGGAGGGCACCAGTAATAGTACTTGTGTCTTAGGAAGTTTTCAGCATTAAATGTGATAATGCAGATAAATAGTGTAATACACAGCCAGTACAGGGTAAAGCATTCAGTACTCTCTTCTTGTTCTTTTCTTTCGTATTTAACCTGAACCTAAAATTACTTTCTTTCTTTTTTTTTTTTTCCGAAACCCTTCTGGAGGGTTTTTTTTTTTTTCCCCCGAAACCCTTCTGGAGGTTTTTTTTTTTTTTCCCCCGAAACCCTTCTGGAGGGGTTTTTTTTTTTTTTTCCCCCCGAAACTAAAATTACTTTCTAAAAAGAATTTTTTGTTAGCGTTTTCCAAATCAATTCTGATTTTCTAACTTTCGTTAGTAGGTTGCACACAATTGTCATTCTTTTTAATTCATTCTACGATTGACAGGGCAAAATGATCATTCCTTGGGGATCAAGGGAGAGTATATTACAAGATAGGTGATGGTGTCTGTGTTGATTGGAGAATATTCTGATCTGGTGGTAGAGTTTTTAAGAAAGTTGTTAAGTCAAGGCTAAAACACATACTTTAAAAAATTGTCTTCAAGTCAATTTTTTTATGATTGTACATTGGCTTGAGCAGATATCATATGATAGGGTTCTTCCAACTTGGCGAAACCATGTTAAATAATTTCTGCAGTGGGTTGAAATGGTAATAAAAAGTCAAAATCGTATGTTTGCACTTTTAGTGCAATTATCACTTTTTACTGAACTTATTTTGGCAGTGGAATAGATTATAAGTATAAAATTGCAACCTAATTCTATTTTGTACTTAGTGAATGTAAATGTAATATAAATTAAAACCCATGTATAAATAATCACAAGGGATAATTTAACATTAATTTTAATTTTCTTCTGAAATGTGAAATTGAATAAATGTTGTTAAGGGTCTTTTTGAGAAGTGGCAAAATGGGCTAAACTTAATTGTACTGTATTATTTAAAAAATATATAAGTTCCAGGAGAGAATGGAGTTTATAAATATGGAGTGCTTTGAGATGATTGGATCTAAGAGAAGTTAGGTTTTTGTCTGACTCATGTATTATGGCTTAAAATGAGATGGTTCAGGATTAGAAATTCATGTGGCGTTTGTATGTGACTGTCAGAATTTGATTGAAGATCCAATATGTTTTGTTCCACACAGCTTAAAACTGGAAGGAAAGTAATTTTAGAACAACTTGTTCTTGAATATTACTGTCTTTAATGACTATTAACAGAGGCCTTAGAGAAAATGAGGGCAGAACTTGAGGAAATAATACAGCAGAATGGAGGTGAAGACCAACACTTTGAATAAGTGAACAATTGATATTTGTAAATGAACTTCCGTTTGTTTTCTGTGGACCTAAGAGATGTGAGCAGGACTATGGCTGTAATTGGTGACTTGTGAAGTGCCCTAAAATGAGATGTGGCTGCCTCGAAAGGTGGTTCGTTCATTGGCATCTGAGCTCTCCAAACCCATCCTGCGTAATTCTAAGCAGAAGTTGTGAATGGACTCAGACATTAAATGAGAAGTTGGGCCAGGTGACCACTTAGATTCCTGTCATTCTTGCATTTCCAGGAATTTTGAGCTGATGACCATTGGATACAATTGAAAAATTTAAAGGGGGCAACATGATTGAAGGTCTAGAATGTGTGTGTGTGTGCCTTTCTGTTTAACTGCTCTTGATTCTCCTAAATCTCTTCCCTTACTCAGCTTAAATGTGCTCCTTTTGGAGAGGCCATGCCTAGCTAAAGATTTGTTCTTGTTGGTAAGTCGTGTCCCACTCTTTGTGACCCTGTGGACTGTAGCCCTCCAGGCTCCTCTGTCCATGGAATTTACCAGGCAAGAATACTGGAATGGGTTGCCATTTCTTACTCCAGGAGATCTTCCTGACCCAGGGATTGAACCTGTGCCTCTTGTGTCTCCTTCATTGGCAGGTGCTGCTTCTTTACCACTGCACCACCAGGGAGTTCCTTGAAGGTCTAGAATATTTAGTTAAAAAGTAGACTTTTGATACACAAATGAGTATCTAGCTATTAAGGAGGTGGCTAAGAGTATGTATGAGCAAAATTTTTCCAACAGTATTTAGTGTTCATTGTCAGCAAGGCCTCAAATGGTGGAAAATTGCCTTTTTCTCACTTGGCACAATGTGAGAGGTGTAGAGGGTGGAGGGAGGGGAATGAATATGAATGAGAATATATCCAGATTCCCTCCTGGATGCCTTCTCTTCTGTAAGCATTTTGGGGATTAAGAAATAGCAAATCTGTATAAAAATACTGAATTCTTATGTTGTATACCTGAAACTACATGTTATATGTCAGTTTTAACTCAAAGAAAAAAGAAATGGAAAGCTGTGTTGTTCTTACATATATAGGTTCAGAATGAGAAGTCAGCATTTTGTCTTCTGGGTGGGGAAAAAAATAAGTCTCCTAAACCAGTTGTATTAATTTACTCTTCTCCAAAATAAATGATGATGAAATTCTTTTGAGTAGGGTCATGAAAACTGATCTTCTCAAATCAATGCTTAGCTTATTTCTTGGTTCCACATACTCTGAATCCCCAGTAGACATGCTATTGTTGTCTGCCAGAATAATATAGGACTCAAATTTTATGCCCTTTTGGCTGGTGTTCATTTTGTAGTGGTTGTTCTATTTATTTTTATTTTTTGGAAAATGAGGATTATCATCTTTCCTGCAGAAAATCAGGTCTCTCTGGGTTTAACTGTTCAGCACTTTTTATAAGCATTTTCCACAGGAGAAATTTGTTTATGGCAGGGGGAGTAATTTGAAGTGAAGAAAAATATTTGAAATAGTTTAGGCTTACTTTAATTTTCAATTCACATGCCTAGCCTCTAAGCAGTAGGATGAAAACAATTTATTTATTGTAAAAAGATCAGTTGAAGAATGTTGTGGAGCTAGATATTTCTATAGATTCTCTAAAGAATACATTGTACAGGTAAAAGTTTCCTACTCTAGATTTTTAATCAAGATAAGCTAAGTAAAGAATGCACAGGGGAAAAAAAGTTTATTATATGAAACCATGTGTGTGAAACTTTTGAAAATTGTAAAGAACTGTAAAATATAAATTCTTTCATTCAATAAAAATAGAATTTTATATTAAATATCACACTGTGATTAAACTCACAGTAACTACAAAATATATTGGAAGCCCAGTTGCTGCCAATAGTCAAATAATACATGAACTATTTGAGGGGCAGAAGCATCTTAATTTTAAGTACTTTTTAATTATTTAAAAGTGCAGAAGATCTGTAATGAAGAAATAGGAATATTCCTATACAATAAGTTGAATCTGGAAGATAAAAAGAATGCAGAAAATTAACCTGATATAATTAAGTCCCTGTTTAAACTATAATTGTCCCGAGCATTTAATAAAAATGCTTAAAGGTAACAATTTATTTGTTAGGATTCTGACCCTACCTCAGTATGTAGCTATTCTGTTTATAAAATTAACTCAGTCTCATTCTGACATTTTTCTGTGTAGCTTAAAAAAAATATATTTTTTAGAGCAGTTTTAAGTTCATAGCAAAACTGAGAGTAAGGCATAGAGATTTCTCCTATACCTTCTCTCCCTACATGTGCATAACCTTGTGTGTTATCAACATGCCTCACCAGAGTGATAACATTTGTTATAATTGATGAACCTACACTGACATGTTGTTATCGCCCAAAGTTCATAGCTCCATTAGTGTTCCCTCTTGATATTATGTAGTCTGTGGGTATGGACAAATGTTTAAAGACTTATATTCTCGGTTATGGTATCATACAGAGTATTGTCTCTGCCCTAAGAATCATCTGTGTTCCTATATTCATCCATCCTGCTGCTCTAACCTCTGTCAACCACTGATCTTTATGCTCTTTCTGTAGCTTTGCATTTTCCAGAATGTTATAGAGTTGGAGTTGTATAGTATAGCATTTTAAGATGGGTTTTTCATTTAGTCATATGCACATACCATTCCTCCATGCCCTTTCATGGCTTCATGGCTCATTTCTTTTTAGTGCTGAATAATATTACATGGTCTAGATGTGCCACCGGTTATTTATCCATTCTCTTACGGAAGAACATCTTGGTTACTTCCAGATTTTTACAATTGTGAATAAAACTGGTCTAAACATCTGTGCTTAGGTTTTTCTGTGGATGTAAGTTTTTTACCTCCTGTTGGTAAATACCAAGAAGCACAACTGTGTGGTAACACTGTTTAGTTTTGTAAGAAACCACCAAAATGGCTTCCAAAGTGGCTGTACCATTCTTTGTTCCCACCAGAACGAAAGAGAGTTCCTGCTGTTTCTACATCCTTGTCAGCATTTGGTCTTGTCGGTTGTGAACTGTGGCCAGCCACTCTAATAGATGTGGAGTGGTATCTCTTTGTTTACCCTCTGAATTCAGTTCAGTTCAGTTGCTCAGTCATGTCCGACTCTTTGCAGCCACATGGACTGCAGCACGCCGGGCTCCCCTGTCCATTAGCAACTCCTGGAGCTTGCTCAAACTCCTGTCCTTCAAGTCAGTGATGACAAACAACCGTCTCATCCTCTGTTGTCTGCTTTTCCTCGTGCCTTCAATCTTTCCCAGCATCAGGGTCTTTTCCACTGAGTCAGTTCTTCGCATCAGGTGGCCAAAGTATTGGAGTTTCAGCTTCAGCATCAGTCCTTCCCATGAATATTCAGGGTTGATTTCCTTTAGGATTGACTGGTTTGATCAGCTTTTACTTTATTATTATTATTTTTAAATTTTAAAAGTGATACTATTACAGAAGGTTAGACAAAAAAGTGAACCTTCTAGTCCCTTCTGCTTAGAGTTAGTGGTCTGATGTTTGCCTTTCTAGATATTTTATTTATGTGTAAAAAAGAGAAATATCCATGGGTAAATTTTAGTTAAAAACAGATTAGTATAAACGTCTTTTTTAGTGGTACTTTGATATGTATGAAACACCTGTCAGTCCAGATGAAATTTTTAAAAGTCAAAGGTGCATTTTGGGGGCCATTAATATATTCATCAGGTGTATAATTTCAGAAGGTAAGAGGGTATATGATGAAACCTATGATCAGTTTGGTTCCCCTCGCCTCCCTCGGTGGGTTCTCCTGGAGTTAATGACAAGGTGTGCATTAGGTGTGTGTTGTGAAACACAAATGGTAGCTTTATACTCATTTTACATTTAGCTTTTTTTTTTTAACGCTGACAGTACACTTTGATTTAAAATAAAATAAAGCTTGATTTACTAAGCTCTGAGCCTCTCGCTTCATGGTTACTTAATTATTTTTAGAATTAAGGAAATACAAATGAACTGTGATGTCCATAGGGAGGAAAGCCAGGAAACAGAAAATACCATGAGTTACCTGATAGTCATCATTTTACCAAGCTAGGAGACGGCAGTTTTGAGGAAAGCATATGGAATATGGCTCTTGATGGAGCTACGTGCCCCTTGAAGGATACATGTGGATAATCCATAGGGATGATTCACTACAGTGCAGCTGTAAACTTCTTTTAATTAGGTAGGAAGCACCTGGGTGTTTTTACTTCATTGTTTTTCCTCTTCTCAGTCCATTTTCTTCAGGGATTAAAAAAAGAAAAAAAAACTCAACCAGTTGGAATTTAAGTTTTTGTAGGGAAAAGTGTTCAGCGTCTTAAAAAGGGGAGTTATACTGATCATCTGCTGGAAGACGAGGTGAGAATAGTAACATTAATCCGTGTGAATTATAGAGGGAAAATGACTGTGTACAGGGAACTGTGTATTAGCATCCTGTGTATCTTTGGATTTGCACTTCTGATTTGTGTTTGAAAATATTTAATAGAATTAATGCTAAATGTGTACAAACTGCTGTTCAAATTTGAATGGCACTAGTATTTTTTAATCTTCTCTGGGTTCTGAGCATTTCCATGAGGTGGCACTGGCATCTTTCCATGACTTCTGGAAAGTGACTGATGTTGGTCACAAGATTAGTAGCTTCTCCCGAGGGACTGATCAACATTGTTTACCTATGAAATTTACTCTGTCCTCCAATGAATCATTCTGTACATCACGTGTAGTAGTAACTGACATATACTTTGTAATAAAAATTATTAACTATTGTTTAACTATGTGTGTAGGTCTGGAGTAAATAGATTGCCAGAAGCTTCTCCAGCAAAAATATTTGGGATCAGCAGAGAATCCAAGTTTGAGAGTCTGCAACCTTGGCAAGTCACCTGCAAGTTCCCTCTTCGGCACGAGAGGAAAAGGAAATTGGGGGAGGGCTATAGTAAACCTGTAGAGACCCTGGCTTTTCACTGGCTGAGTCCCTGCCAGTTTCTTCCTCCCATTGAGTTCTTCTATCATAGCAGGTATTGACCCAGCTCTATTTAATTGAAATTTCTTTTTATTAATATTCTTAACAAATGCCTGCTATCTGCTAAAAGTGTTACAAATGTATTCTTGTGTAACCTGTACTACAATACAGAGGGCTTGGTATTATCATCTTTATTTATAAATGAGCAGATTCAAGCTCAGAGAGGTGACATATATTGCCTGAGGTCACTCAAGAGGTGATTGTAAGGCGTTCAACTCAGTTGTACAGTGTTGAAAATCTATTCTGTTTGTACGTACACCTTGCAAATATTCATCCACCATAAGCAAATGTATTTGACACATCTGGGTTGACACTCTACTCTCAACTTGGCAATTTGTGAATTTAATGTGCTCATCAGGCATTTGCAGAGGAGTTGGGTCAGATCCTCTTAAGAATGGTGGGTCTCCAGAGGTCTCAAGCCAGCAGCCTGTAGGCTGAATGTGGAATGCACCTGTTTTGTTTTGGAGGGGGAAGAAGGGAGAAGCCAGCACTGTTTTAATTGAATTGAGCGTGAAAGCCTTGAGGCTTTTGTGTGCTCTCAAGTTCCTCCTTAGTCCCCATAACTCTATTTCCTTAGGCTCTGCCTGCTTCACTCATTAAGGTTATCTACATGGGTCCTGATAGCATCCACATTTGCAAGTGCAGAAACTATTAAATCAGGAAGTATGCTGGTTAGGATGTGTTCATTTGTGGGTTCAGATTAATTTACATTACTCTCTATAAAACAATGAGTCGACTTCATTACCAATTTACTGTTAACATGTTTCACAGAAGTCCTTTAGTAGGTAGAATTTCCCGCCTCACTTCTGTCTGCTGACCTGCGGTAGAGTCATATGGTGCATCCCCTGAAGACTGATGTTTGGTTGATTAGAATAATATACCCTGAGGTGATTTTTTTCATAAGTCTAAATCTCTTGACCAAAAAAAAAAAAAAGGTGAAAGCAAGTTTGTTCATCATCGTTAGAAAGAAGAGTTCGTGATCTTTTTTTTTTCTTTCCTTTCCTTCCCTTTCTTCCTGCATTCCTTCCTTGCTCCCTTCCTTCTTAATTGACTCTCCAGTTTTAGATGAATTGCATTTTGGCCCCATATGAGTGTCTTCTAAGTTATTAATAATGTTCAGGGAACCTTAGTACTCCTTGAATAGTATGAAGGGAACTTGGGATACTGAGTCAGTGGTAGAACTCCCCTCCCATGATGCTATTTATGTCCTTTGCTGTGTTTTGAAAAGAGATCTGTTTCATGTATTTCCATCTTTAAATATTTTCTACCATATTTTAATGTGTCTCTCATGAAATACTTCCCTGTAGGATGCTCAATACAAATGTTTGGAAAATATTTTTTATCCCAACATTTACTCAAGAACTTGAAGTACGTACTGTATTAGAGGATGTGGGCAGTACCATATTTAAGGAATATACTTAGTTTACCAGAGAACTCCTCTGGAACCCATCCTTTCTGTACATCACCTCCTTGTCCTCCAAAACTGCACATACCTATCAGCTTTCTACAGAACATACATTGAGATTGCCTCTTAGTAAATGTTACCTAAAAACATGAACCATGGTTTTTGTTGGTTGCTTTGGTTTTGTTTGGGCAGGGGGAGAGGGGGAGGGTGGGAGCATGATCCCAATTCCATTCAAATGGATTTATTTTGTGAAATGCAAGTTTGTCAGGTCTGAATAATTTTTAATGAAGCATTGAACTTCATAGCTTGGTTGTATTTAAAATGATTAGGCTAAATAAAGCCTATGTCATTCTTCATGATGTCTGTGGGTGGATTGCTTGATGACATGGGGACTGTATTTCTTTCTGTTTTGGTGATTTGCAACTAATCTTATCCTGCAGTTTGTAACACATTGGACAAACTTGTCGAAATGTCAACTCAGTTGGACCTGCTTTGCTTCTCCTGGGCATGTTTGTTAATATCTTTTCTTGGTTGTAAATCTTTCCTGAATAAAACACTTTCCTTTGATTCTTATAATAATCCTGTGAGATTACTATAGGAAACATAATTCCCCATTTTATTAAGGGAGCTAGTTCTAGAAGATCAAGTCACTTGCTCAGGGTCTCATGGTGAGTTAATTCAGTGACTTCATCTTTCTAGCTGCATGTCTGCATTCCCAAAACTAACCCTGCTTTGTGTATGACTTGAAAAAAATACCTTTGTGTTAACTTGATTTTTTTTAAAGCCCAAAATGAGAATTCCTTACATTTTGGCACTTGTTTATTAGACAAAACAGGGAGTCCAAATAAAACCAGATGTGAGCTGTTTTTAACTGTGCCCAAATCCTAATGATCCATATGTAAATTACCACTTGTAGCTAATTTTTAATGCACTGCTGGTTTCTTCCCAGCTTCCCTGTTGGCTGTTCTGTCCCCCTGCCCCTGCCTTGGCTTTGTCAGAGCTGCTCATAAAGCAACTCTAAAGTGTGTGGACATTACTTTGCCAACAGAGGTCCGTTTAGTCAAAGCTATGGTTTTTCCAGTAGTCATGTATGGATGTGAGAGTTAGACTATAAAGAAAACTGGAGGTGCTTTTGAACTGTGGTGTTGGAGAAAAGTGAAAGTCCCTTGCACTGCAAGGAGATCCAACCAGTCCATCCTAAAGGAAATCAGTCCTGAATATTCATTGGAAGGACTGATGCTGAAGCTGAAACTCCAATACTTTGACCACCTGATGCAAAGAGCTGACCCATTTGAAAAGACCCTGATGCTGGGAAAAATTGAAGGTGGGAGGAGAAGGCGATGACAGAGAATGAGATGGTTGGATAGCATCACTGACTCAATGGACATGAGTTTGAGTAAATTCCGCGAGTTGGTGATGGATCAGGAGGCCTGGCATGCTGCAGCCCATGGGGTCGCAAAGAGTTGGACACAACTGAGCAACTGAACAGAACTGAGCTGAAAGTCTGTGGACATGGTATGTTTGATTTAGGATGCTGACATTTTTCTTAAGAGGACAGCATTTTATTTTTTCTGTCTAGATGAAATAATGGATTGTTTCATTTAACTCTGAATAGTTTTCAAGACAGGGCTTGTGGACATTCAGATTGACAGAGTTTTTAAATGAGACCCAAGAGAAGATATGGGTTGGTCATCTGCAACCAGTTAACAAAATAAAAATCGCCAAAGTACAATTAGTTTCATAACCATTTCCCCCACCCCAGTCAAATGTTATCATTGGTGGTTGGCAATTGAGGTTTTTCAGGGTATACTTGGATTTAAATCCTGGTTTGTTTTTTCCAGAGCAATGTATGTATATTCTTGGGCAAGGTTATCTCTTTTTAGCCTTAGTATACTTGTCTGTTAAAGGGGATTGCATGACCTATCCTGTGTAGATTAAGTGAAATAAGGTATGGTGGGAGTAAGCGCCTAGGGATGGTAGATAAAAGAACTTTATCACCTTCTTGGTAGCAAATTCAATGCTGGAAAATCACAAGTTAGTGGGCTATAAAATTATGGTTTTGTATTTGTTTGAGAAAGCAGAGTAAATAAAAAAGTAAGCGTACACAATAGGAGTCATAAAAACTTTGAGGAAGGAGGTTCATGGTGTTGGGGTATAACATTGAGGGACTTGAAAATTATCTGTGACTGGGTTTTGGTACCAAGCTGTCAGAATGATCTTGTCAAGCATGTGGGCTTTGTGTGTTTTGGGTGCAAGCAGCAGATTATCTGCCCTGAATACACTTTAAGCTAAAGATACATTTATTAAAAACCAACAATAGAGACATAGAGTAAGTAGCCTATGGAGTCTGAGGGTCACCTGAAAAATGGAATCAGAGTGGTTTGGAACTGGACACCTCCAGGGTTGCTGGGTGAAGGAACTAATACACCATCTCTGTCAAATGCCCCCTGTAGAATGATTGCCCCCTGGCTTTTTTCATCCTTTCTCTGCTGGAACAAATGGTCCATCTTGGGAAAGTTCCCACATAGAGCGCCTTGACTCTCACTCAACCAGAGCCAGTGAAGAAAGGATTATGTCTTTTGAAAGAATTGCATTACTCCTACCAGATGCAGGGGAAATGCATGTTGGGTGGCAAAAGTTTACCATGTCCGGAAGAAGCCTGAAGGTTGAAATCAGACAGTGATGTTGCATAGGTGATGAACAGAGATTTGATGAGATCAGAGCCTTTGCATCAGGAGGATATTGGGAAGGAAAGCTGGAGCCATTGTAACATTTTGGTGAAGGTTGAAGGTCATGTCTTGTTTTTACAGCAAAATGTTATAAGTAAATAGTTCTTTAGAAACCATCACTGACTCTTTCCTTGGATTAATTTCTAACCTTTACTGGCTACCTCATACCGCCATCATAATTTTCAGCATGTGCTGACCCAGCAGCCACTTTAACATATAAATAGGAAAGATACTGACTAATGGTGACATGCTTTTTTGGTTGTTTTTGACTGACTTATTTAGGATATTTGATTTTCCTCTGGAATGTGTCTTTGACAGATTTGTGTATTGTCAGCACAGGATTTATCATCATTTTCTATATATCTGCTTTGAACTAACTGGTATAGTTAGCCCCCTGTATCCACGGGTTTTGCATTCATGAATTGAACCTACCACAGATTAAAAATATTTCAAAAAAATTTCCATAAATTTCCAAATAGCAAAACTTAAGTTTGCAGCACATTGGCAACTATTTACATAACACTTACAATATATTTTACAACTATATATGTAATATTTACTTTGTATTAGGTATTATACAGCATGTAGAGATGATTTAAAATATGTGGGAAGATATTCATAGGCTATATGCAAATAGTGCACAATTTTATATAAGGGACCTGAACACCTGTGGAATTTGATTTCCACAGGGAATCCTGGAACCAGTTTCCCTGGCAGATATTAGAGGGATCACTGTATTCTTTTCATGGGGATAAAAAGTCTCATAAATTTGATATTCCCAGCTCATGACATATCTAGCTCATAACAAAGGTGCTCCTTAAGTCTTTAAATTAATAGCCCAAGATACTTAAACTATTTATT